TTTTGTGCTTTAAGTAATGTGAAAAAAAAGTACTTTTTCTTACACTCGTATCTCAAGAGAGAAGGAACTCAAAAATCTGAAACCATCAGAACAAACTAGTCTGATTGAAACCCTTCTCTGCACAAACTTTCAAATCGAAATTTGAAAGTTGATTTTCCAAGTAAATCTGACAAAGACCACGGTGTTCTGCTGAAAATTGCTGTAAAAATCAAATATCTTGATAGAAATAAGCAAGAAGCACGAGTCTTTTTCAGAATGTTCATAGCACATTAGAGCCTACATAATGCACATAGACTCGACCCAATAGCGATTTGGCACCTGGCAATTGCTTCTGATCCCTTTTTTCTGTCCAACGTGACCCACACCCTCCAGATAGCTGCGATCCATCTCCTCAATTATTTCTATCCTATCTGATATAATGATCGACAAAAACAAATTAAGAAATAACTGTTTATAATTTTTATAAAGGGCTTTTGCAGGGAAATCGAAAATATTTCCGCATTCCATGGGACTTCAAGGGTTCCATGAGGTTACAAGGGACTCCAAAGAGTTGAAATCTGCCGTTTTCCCTTTGGGGTGTTGGTGTGGATGTCGAAGAAGAAAACAAAATAAACCAAAGCCAACACCCACCCACATCCACACCCTTTCGTCAACAAAGACATTGATAGAAGAAAAAAGTTACTTAGGATAATAAAAAAAAGTTTTTTACTGAGCCTCACCTGATTTGGAAACGTTCCGCCGTCCCTGATTTGATAGACGATTTTGATTTGGTTGTTGACGAATATGGGTTACAAGACGAATGTTATGATATGTCAACAATCCAAACAGTATAAGAACAATCAGAGGAAGAAGAACAGTGAGAATTGGAGACAAAAAAAAGAGTTCCTATTCGCATAAAGAGATCATTCGTGAACCAACATGCAAATGTTGGTGGTACAAGATCACAATACACCAAAAAAGGAATATTAACAAGTGACCAAAGAATAAATGGAATAGGAAAAACACGACGAGCTACGCGAATCGAACTCAATTGACGTATTCGAGCCGATTGAGATGTACATGCCCAACGATCAAATGCAGACAAACAAAGAAAACTCACCGCAATAGAAACTGTCACTTGAAGAAAAAATAACATTAACTTACAAGCAATGGATGAAACCGATGATGGCGTAGATGGAACTATTTGAAGAAGCAGAATCAATAAGACACTCACATCAGATAATGATTGCCCCACAATATAATAAGTCGATGAAGATCGACGAAATGTTTTTATGCCAATGAATATGATTGCATTGAGTAATGCTGCTGGAACTCCGATGGAAAATAAAATAAATGGATTCCAAAATGTGATTTGAAGAACTACTTCAAAAACTGACACCATGTTTTTTTGTAAAATTGCCCGAGCTCTTACACGATTCTGCTTCAATCGTAATAAAATAATTCAAATGCACTATCACTCTGTGATTTTGTGCTCTCTTCTTCTCTATCCTCTCTATGATATCTTCAAAGAAAATCCAATTTCAATACCTGCTAGGAGCCACTCACAGATATGTCAACAACAGCTAACTCGTCACGGTCAACGCTCCCATCAAATTCTTTCAGATAAAAAGAGCATCTTTAGTATCTTGTTAAATATGATTTTATTTGATGGAATTCAAACATCTCATTTCCTGTGTGTTTAAAACTTATATAATCCAAAGTTAGTTTTTTTATATAAGTGGCCTGCTGGCTCATTTTCTATCTGTTTCTGACACTATTGTAGAAAAAAAGTTCTTCTAAAAGATTGAGAAAATTAGATATTCATTTTGATGATTATCTGCGAACATGAAATATTGTGAAAAAGTTTTTCGAGTTCATTAGAATTTTTCTCTATGGAACTATTTATTCGGCTGTAATTATGTGCGTAATTCGTTTCAAAATATGTTTAATGCATTACAATCGTATTGATTGAAATGTATGATGTAATGTGTGAGAAGAGAAAGAACATCTTGTTTCCAAGAATTATGCTGAATGTTGACATCTTTCTTTTTCATGAAAAACAGTGGCCAAAAATTAAGTAAATCAAGAAAGATTTACTTCAGAAGGATTTTTTTTTTGATAAACAAAATATTTGTTGATTGAAACTCGCCACAGAAAATATTTGCCATGAAGACTATTGATGATGATTTATCAAAAAGTACCATTAAACTGATTATATTCATTGTTATTACAATTTTTCATTAGTGCTTTTACAATTATTTGTATCCAACAAGCAGAAATTAGAAACATGCTGTCATTTGAGATCAGCCAACTTTAGATGATAATTACTTATCGAACACATTCAAGGACACAAACAGTGCTGCCACCTTTTGAAGTCTGACAAGCAGAAAGTATGTTCGTCATATAAAGCTACTTTTAAACTCTGTTCCAATGTACTAATTAAGCATTTTCACATAAAAGTTTTGCTCTTTATTGTACAGAATCAAGAAAAAGAATTAATCAATAAATAAATAGAATTGCACAAGATCAAGAAACACACTTAAGTAACAAAATAAACAGGATTATTGGACATATTTTCTTTTGAACGAATATTTTTCATCTGATTTAACAGCTTTTAAGGCTTCTCGAAAATCGATCTCAATCTGCAGTGGAGAGATAATGGTAAAATTTTCAGCTCGGTACCATGACGTTTGACTTAAATATTCACCAAACAAAAGTCAAAAATAGCATATTTGGCATACAAAATTTCTCTGTCAATACTCGTATAACATATTTGGGCAATTCCGTAGGGTTCCTTCTACCGTCACATGAAGTATCTTCGATTGGCCTTCAAATAGCATCATTTGATAGAACTTTTTACACTGATTATTGTGGTCACCAAAAAGTCTATCATTGACTGCACAATAAGAGACAAATTCACAAAATAAGAAAATACGCATTTCTGATTATTTTCTTCAACTTCAAATGCCATCATTTTCATTATTTTGGCGAATATGAATATAAATATTTTTTCTAATCAAAATTTCAACTCCAGATTCATGTAGAGCATCAAAAATTCTTCAAGATCTTCTACTTTTCCGATTAAATTTCAATTATTTTTACTGGAGCCTTAATAGCTGTTCCTTGTCGCTGAATACCTAAAGCATGCGAAAATGTTTGTCTAGCATTTGATTCAAAAAACGGAATTCCGACAGAAAGCCTGATATACAGTTCGCTAGAGAAGCTTCTACTCTATCGACCTATATAAATAACTTTTTATGGGAGAATTATTTGCTATGCAAATAGGACGAAGAACCAAAAAATGTAGTTTTTTTTTCACATTTTATGTAGTATAGGTTTTCTAATATTCAGCCATTTGTTCTTATATTTTACAATTAACAATAAAAACCATCTTTAGATTCAAAATCAGCATTAAAAACTGTATCGAATGAGGTATTTTGAATTAGATAAAATTATTTTATATGGAGCCTTGGTAAACAGCCATTAATTCTACACTTATGTTATTCATACATAAAAGGGCGGAAGACGTTTTAGGTGCATTTCGGCCTCATTAGAAAATGAAGGTAGATTTACCCCAAAATTTCAGCTTTATCCATTGAACTTTTCCTTTACCTCAACACATCAAAAACCTAGACCCTATATGTACATATGAATACTCTATAGAGGTGTGTGGGTATGCACGTGTATTATCTTCTTGTCTCACACCCGCACCCACACCCTTAACAAACTTTTTAACGTTAGCTGTATGATAAAATTGCTAGCAATGTTATTAGAACTTTTGGTCAAGCCTAAATATTTTGACACTTTGAAGATTCGAAATATTAATCTTTGAAGATGTTTTCTCTATAATCAAGAAAAAACTTTTCAGTGCGACCCCAAGAGGGACCGAAATGTGGAACTCACAAATTCTGAGTGTTATAAATTTAATGCATATTGTTAGAGTTTTTAAAATAAGTTATTTTAAAAAATACTAAATAGATGATACATCAGAATTATAGCAATTTTTATAGTTGATATACGCGCTCTGAAGAGTGTGGGTGTGAGTGTATAGCAAATGCGTGTACTCATGTCGAAGAATTTGACGAGAAAATTGAAATTGTTTTACTCGGTGCGTTGTTCGAAGAAAAATCATTTTGTTACGCAACCTCTTTTTATTTATATGTAGTTTTAGAACAATAGAAATAGAAAAGATTAAAACTCAATAGCCATTCTTTGCAAATCAAAATATTTTATTTTACATAATTTTACAATTTATAGAATTTTCGACCATTTTCAATTAGAAACGCTCTTATTATCGGTCATCTTCAGTACGATGTTGAGATTTGAAATAAATAGATGAAAATACATAACATCAATAATCATCACTTGCTTGAAGTGAAATCAATAAAACAAGTCACGAGTCAAGCAAAAAAAATTAGTCCATGACCATATCATCATAAATGGAACATCCAAGTCAATAATACACAAGTACTATATTTTGATTTGAAATAAAAAGAAATTTTGATTATCATACTACATCTATTGTGTCTTTCATATTATTATTATTTATCTCAAATACTTTTTTTAAATTAGGATTTCTTAAAGGAACATAACCGGAAAAAAATCATAAAAATTGATTGAGAAGAACTTCACTTATTGAAATTTTGCATCTAAGAATATAATAGTACAATGATTTTGCAATTCACGCATACATATTTAGTGTTGATTTCCTTGCAACAAAATCACCACAGTTATCCATCTGATATTCAGAGTTAACTATTTGAGATGTTCACATCCTTTTATCAGATAAACACATTCGTAACTCTGTTTCTTCTTATCCAATGAAGCTATACCTGCTCCTCTTTGCAAAAATGAATCACATTCTATATCAAGTAGATTCTAATGAATATATTTCATTGTTCACAAAGAGGATACAATCTTGTTTTAAACATGCAACAGCCTACATATACTATCAAATACTTCTGTGATAGAAAATGCTTGTTTATTATACACAAAAAAAGGATAAAATGATAAAAAACTGTTTAGAAGTATCGAAAACCATAACCCATTCCATATCTACCACCATAAGCACCACCCATCGGTATGAATTCGTTTTCTCGTATGGTGGACATCGCTCCGGTGAACGGGTTTCGGTTTATTCTCGTCTCCTGTTCATAGAGTCCGAATCTACGACAAAAGAAACATAGATTTATCAATAAAGCAAATAGAACAATAATAATATACCCTTGTGGACCATAGCCAATGCGTTCCTGTTCGATGACACCACCACCAAAGCCACCCATGCCACCGTATGGACCACCATAAACACCGTATCCGTAGCCAGCCATATTATAGAGTGAAGAGTGAAAAATAAAGAATGAAGACTGTTAGAGAGAAGAACAGCCTTTTATAGGGTAATAATGCATCCTTTGAAAAGAAATTAAATACGCCTAATGATGAATGACGATGGAGAATTAGTCAATAGATAGTATGATTTATTTATACTATTCTTTTGCGTGTTCTAAAAATGGGAGAGTAGCTGTCTCCTATTCATATACTGACGTACTTATTTGAATCATTATTGTTGGTCACGTGTCAATATTCTTCGTCTATTTTTACTTATACCGCACATATCTAAATCGCTACACTTCGAAAAAAAGTAGTGATTTTTGTTTTTCGGTGTTCAATAGTGAATTTCGAATGATACGCCACAAATTCATTGTCGTAGCTCGAAATAACAAGTCAGAAATTGCAGATGATAGATCGATCATTGATCAATCTATCTGTGATATTTGAAAAAATTATGTATATTTAGCAACAGGAAAAATAATGTCATTTACCATAATCAAAAAATTTTTTTTTTGTGAATCATTTTATGTTTGACAAGAAAAAAACAAAAGACGTAATAATATAATATAATGTATTTTTTTACGTTTTAAATTTTCGATCTTTAAGCGATTATTTCTAGAAAATGCTGTTAATAATATTATAATAATTTTAAAAGTTCGAGTTATAATTCACATCTTTGTTTTTTTAATATGATGTTATGCTTCAAATTCATATTGCTGTATAGATTGTATTAGCATGCGTAATTCTCAACATCATTGTTGATTTAAAATATATGTATAAGTATAAATAACACCACCAATAAAAAAAAAATATTACTCCAGTACTATGACTAACACTACGACTATTAATGCTTTCATTTGGATTAGATGTAACATAATGCGTTGTTTCTTTAAATAGACAAGAAGATTATAACCATGCTATTGTTGTTAACTTACTCATGCTAATACAATCTATACAACAATGTCAACTTGAAGAATAACACCATATTAAAAAAATAAAGACGTGAATTATAACTTGAACTTTTAAAATTATTATAATATTATTAACAATATTTTCTGAAGATGATCGCTTAAAGATCGAAAATTTAAAAAAACATTATATGATTAAGCCTATTACATTATTTCGTTTTTTTATTTTATCTTGTAAAACATAAAATAATTCCTAAAAAAAGTTTTTGATTATGATAAATGACATTATTTTTCCTGTGGCTGAATATACATAATTTTTTCATATCCAAAAAAAAAATCCATGTTAAAAATAAAATTTATGTATGTGTGGTATTGATTCGACGCGGGACAACGATGAAATAGCCTTGTGAGACGTATCGGAAGATGTCACACATTAGCGAGAAAGAACAATCTATTCAAAATCGATCAGAAGAACTGTTGAATATTCAGGCAGACAAAAACGATTATAAGAGCGTTAAACGCGTTAAATTAGCGTTCTTACCGTTTGACACGGGTTAATGGGTTTATTTATTCAATTCGTACTTCTAGCACGTTTTTCATAGTTCATTTTTGTGTAATTCGATTATAAACCGTAACAAACGATCTAATTTTGTTGCTATGAAATGAAACATGTTTAAACAAGAAATTTTCATTATTGATTAGATCATCTTATATAGATGGAATATTAATCATTATAGTCTTTCACATAGTTATGAAATATTTTTCTATAGTATCGTTGCCAAAACATACTTGCCTAACTAAAACTGAAGTAAACAAATCATTTGACAAGTAAAATATATTTCTGTAACTGAATACGTAGTAGTTAGTATTAAATATTCTTTATTGCAGGGTTGGATGAGTCAAGTTGTTTTAGTATTTTTTTTTTCTTTTCTATTTATCTCCATAAAAAACATGTTAACAGCAAGTTTTCTTTGTAGGATATTTATTTTTTAGTTTTTATGTATAAAAAGAGAAATAAGAAAAGTTACATATGAAATAAAAAGAAATAATTTCTATTGGTTAAGTAAAAAAAATAATCATAGTAAGATCAACTCATCTTTCTTGTATAGTTCGACATAAAAGTAAAAAATATCATTTTTTAGAAACAAAAGCTTACATTGATGCCTATTTACAAACAAAGGACCTTGTCGGATGTTATCGATCTATCCATTTAGCAAAACAAAATACAAGATTTTGTAGAGCTCGAAAAATTACGTCTAATAGTATATAAATCAAAGTGTTTCCTATTCAATTTCAGTAATTTCTTCTATATAGAATATCGAGGGGAGTATTATAAAATATTTAGGTCCAATACATTATCATATGATATGGAAATGGTCCTTTATTGTTCGTTACTAGAATATGATAACAATTATTATTTTACTTAGTTTTGTAGAACTTTTTTCGCTTTATAATTTGGCTTATTTCATTTTTTTTTGTCTTAAAAGAGGAAAAAAAAAATTTTTAATGGAAAATATCAAAGGTATTAATCGAAAAACCACTAAATATCAAGAATTTCAATTTTATTGATATCTTTGTGGTCTTTCGTTATTGTACAAGACCTAGTGGCAACAAGGTGGGGCGTATGTGGGTGTGGGGTGTGGATGGTTTTTTAGAGACTGTTTTCCAAGGTTCTTTTTTGACTTTTTTACGAATAATATTACAAAAGTTTCTGAAAATTCGACCGAGCTTAGAAATCAACAAAAAAAGGAGGTAAGATGGTGTTATATTCATCAATTTTCAATACTTTTGTTTTCCTTGAAACTGTGGAAGATAAGCATGCTTGAAAACGCTCAAATTTTTTCCTTACAATAGAAACTTCATCTTACACTTGTCAAAATCACATTTTCACATCTGATACATAATGAAAACACGTTTAGTTTTCTTTTCTTTATTTAAAACAGTCGTTTTCTTCAATAAGAATGAATAAATAAAGTAAATATTGTCAAGAAACGTGTACTTTTAATAAGTTATTATTAATACAAAATGGGTTTGGGTGTCGCTTTTGACTTAAACTCACATCCACATTCCTCTACAGCGATACCCACAAGGTTATGAAATAAGAATGATAACTAAAACAAGAAGAATTATTGAATCTTTTCATTCACAATCTAAAAAGAGGCATCGCTTTTCGGAACACATCAGTCAAAATTTTTGTCTTAACGTTGATTTAGTTGTGAGAACTTTAGCTGCTGGTTTAAACAAATATCAAACTAATCTCCTTCATGGAAAGTCGACCGAAGGTTATACTTTAGTCAATAAAAAGTTGTTAATGAAAAATTCAGCAATTAATTTAGAACAGTAGATTTTTATAGTGACTTTTCGTTAAGAATAATTGGGAAAATATACTTGATATTGATTTTCCTTATGTTACACTTGATTTTCTTCGTAAATACACTTGCGGAGTTTATCAAATTAAACAAACTTCCACGGATGTGAAAGCACTTTTATATGAGCACGGTGGTGAACTTTAATTTGACGCATCGTCTTCTAACGATTCTATTCTTCGTTGACGATTACATAGTAAATATTGAAATATAACTTTGTATTTTTTATGTATACTATTTGCCTAACATGATAATAACGAGCCAATAAAGGATCACGATTACAAGTGCAAGTTTGAGGCAAGAAAATTATGAAGAAATGCAACGCACTAATCATTTATTTTCTTAGTCGAGGCTATGTGCGTCATGCAGTTACTCATGAGCTATGAATAACCTGAAATGAGTTCGGGCTAACAACTTATTAGTGCTGAGATATTACATTTTTACAATATTTTTTAACAGAATCCCGTGGTTTCCCTCATGAACACTAGACAAATTGATTTTTGCCTTATGAATTGAAACTCTACATAGAGTGAGGTCTTAACAAGAATAGATTTTTTTTGTGAAAGCTTCAGATCCTGTCGTTATTCTTATCCTAAGATATGACTATGATAAAAGCTATCTATTATATCGTTACTATATATGTACGTATTCAATATTCAAATCCCAGGAGAGGAGTATATCAAAAGATCCGAAATTTTCCAAAAACCTATTCTTGTTAAGGCCTGTCTCTGTGCAAAGTTTCAATTCGAAATTCAAAAATCAGTTTTCACAGTGTTGATGAGAGAACCATGGTATTCTGTTAAAGCACATACCGTAAAAATGCAATATCTCAGTATCAATAAACAGTTAGCTTCAACTCTTTTCAGAATGTTCATAACTCATTAGTGACTACATGATACACATAGTCTCGACTCAAAAGCGATTGAACAATCCATTTCATGCCTTCGTTAGGATGCCGCTCACACATAGCAACTATACTTTGGTATATTGATTATATGCACGTCACATTACCTGATCTCCATCATTACGAACTGATCGTTATTGCGAAAAAATGTTGTAACGTTGAATAAACACTAGCATACTGTTTTCCTTCTAAATTTCTTTCATTGAAATAATGAACCAAACAAATAAATGAAACGTTCATTCATTTGAGAATTTTGATCGGTGGATATTGCGACATTGATAAACAATCGCATGAGCTTTGTGTAATGCTTAAGAGAGCGTCCATCAGGGAACCGAGTATACGAGGCACTCGAAAAAAATTTTTTTTTAATTTTTTTTGCTTATTCAACGCATCAATGTCTGAAACCATCGACCCCAAAATTTTAAGTTCCAATACCTTTCCTTTGCAAAGTTAGCCAATACCGACTTTTGGCACTGCCGTACCTTTTTAGGGAAAAAACAGAAAAAATTTCCTATAAAAGGTGTTCCAGCTTGCGTTGCAACAGATCATTGAAATTTTTCATGGTATATACCAAACGATAGAGAATTAAAAGCTGAACAAAATAAGCTACATGGATGTAATATAATGTTTAGCAACTCATGTTTTATAAAGCCAACATGAGTCAAACGGGGTCTTTTTGATTAGTTGGGGTGTGGATGTGGATGTGGATGTGGTGTGGGTGTTAATTTTACTTTAATTCATACCATCGCTCACATCCACACCCGCACATACCCCCACACCTCACC